TGGCTTGTTCTGCACAGCCTCAGTGGGGCGGCTCCCCTCCCTGCGGGGTCTCATCATCTGGCCGGCCAGCCTGGGAGAGTTCATATGGCAGCCAAAGGGGTTCAAGGGAGTGCATGGACACGTGCGGAGCTTTTGGAGGCCTGTGGACTAGCACACTGTCACTTCTGCCTTATTTAATTGCCAAAGCTAGTCAGGAGACCAGCCCAGACCCTTAATGAATGGAGCCGCCAAATCCCATGGCAAAAGACATACATGGCTATAGAGAGGTGAAGGCAATTGTGGCCATTCAGCTGGATCCCTCTGGCCATGTAGGAGGAAGCTGGTGGCAGGGAAACCATATAGGAGTCTATTAGACCAACCCGAGTGAGAGGCAAAGGATATAGCCTTGCAGAGAACAGCTAGGCAAGTGGAGCTTCCTGAGGTCCCAGGAACTGGAGTAGCTCTGCCTTGGACAGTGTGGAGAACATTCTGAGTAGAGGGTGTTTAATCTCAGCTTGAAGGAGGAATACAATTAGGAAGCCCGCACCCAAGCAGGCCCTGTATGGTTGGGGCTCTAGACACAGAAGGAGCCAAGGGACAGTCTGGATGCTGTTGCTGGATGGGTCAGCAGAGGCTTAGTCACCAGTATTTGGGGATGTTGATGGGAACCTGGGCTCAGGTGTGGTCCTGGCTCCATGTCAGTAATTGTTAGTCGCTAGGTGCCATCGAGTCAGTTCTGACTCACAGTGAGCTTGTGTCCAACAGATGAAACACCGCCTGGCCCTGTGCCGTCCTCGCAACCGTTCCCATGCTGGAGCTCGCTGTCGCAGCCACTGTGTCAGTCCATATTGCTGACGGCCTTCCTCGTTTGGCTGACCCTTTACGTTACCAAGCATGATGTCCTTCTCCAGGGACTGGTCCCTCCTGATAATATGTCCAAAGTACGTGAGGTGAAGTCTAACCAACATCGCTTCTAAGGAGCATTTTGGCTGAACTTCCTCCAAGACAGATTTGTTCATTCTTCTGGCAGTCCAGTCAATCTTCCTCACCAACACCATAACTCAAAGGCGTAATCCTTCTCTGGTCTTTCTTATTCATTCTCCAGCTTTCCCATGCACACGAGGCAGTTGAAAACATCATGGCTTGGGTCAGTCGCATCTTAGTCCACAAGGTGGCAGCTTTTCTTTTTAACAGTTTCGAGAGGTCTTCTGCAGCAGTCTGCCCAACGCAATGCATTGTTTCATCTCCTGACTGCCGCATCCATTGGTGTTGACCGTGGATCCAAGTAAAATGAAATACTTGACAGTTCCAATCTTTTCTCCATTTATCATGATGTTACTTATTGGTCTAGTTGTGGAGATTTTTGTTTTCTTTATGTTGAATTGTAATTCATACTGAAGATTGTCCAGCTATATGGCCATCACCCACAAGAGGGCAGCAGAGAATCATCAGCTACAATGATTGCCTTTGGCGAGAATCAGGTGACTTGATTTTGAAGCGATTAGGATAGGCTCAGGGAAAGCTTTTAAAACAATTTCCTAGTTAGAAAGTAAGAGTTCTGGTAGCGAAGTGGCTAAGGCACTTGACTGCTAACCAGAAGGCTGGCGGTTCAAACCCACGAGCCACTTCTCGGAAGGAAGATGGGGCAGGCTGCTATCTGTAGTGATACTGCCTCGGAAACCCAAAGAGGAGTTGCTATGAGTCGGTTCCGACGGTAGCTCTGGTAGAATAGCGCCTAAGTCACTAGGCTTTCTATCTGTATAGCTATATGTCCTTATAGGCGTGCGTGCCGCGTCTCAGTCTGTAGGATATCTATCTAATCCCTGTAGATATCACCTCAGAATCAACTTGACGGCATGGTTTTTTTGAGATGGATTGTTTTGCACTGAAGAAGTCAAACTAATAAGAAGTCCCAGCTCTGACACCACTGCTGACCTGTGTAGTCCCTGTTCTCAGAAGAAGTGCTCCACACTTGTTTTCATGCTGATGAAATTCTTGTTGTTGTTATGTGCCGTCGAGTCGGCCCCGACTCATAGCGACCCCTCCTTGGGTTTCCGAGGCAGTATCACTACGGAAGTAGGATTGCCCAACCTCCCTTCCCAGGAGTGGCTGGTGGGTTTGAACTGCCAGCCTTCTGGTTAGGCACTATGCCACCAGAGCTCACTGTGAATCATGTAGCTTGTTCTTTTTGACACTTACTAGTGCAATATTCTTCACTCTTGTGGGTTAATCTTCATGAGGATTCACCTCCTAGGGTTGCTGTGAATATTATTTGAATTCATATGAAAAGTGTAGAATACACAATAAATATTCAATAACTCTTGTTGTTATTGTTATGTGCCATGGAGTCAGAATAGACTCAATGGCATTGAGTTAGTTTTGGAGTACACAGAAGACCTGAGGAGAAAGAAAGCCCCAATCAGATGTGTTTCTTAATGTACCTGGGCAGACAGGTTTAAGACAGGACTGCCACATACAGCTGTGCAGGTTGGACACTGCACAAGTCTAAGGGGGCCATTCACATTCCTGCGTGCAGAATCTTCACACCACCCCTGCTGCCCCCATCTGAGACAATCTCACAGCACTCCCTGAACCCCAGCGAGGTGAAGAAAAAGCAGACATTCCCTTTGGGTCCAGAATGAGGGGTGGTACTGTAGAGTAGGCCACAGCCCACTATAGCCCATGGGCCCAAGCTACCCCATGGCAGTCTATGTAAATAAAGTTTTATTGGAACATAATCACTCTCATTTGTTTACATATTGTCTGTGGCAGCTGTCTTGCTACAATGGCAGAGTTGAGTAGTTGTGATAGAGACCACATAGCTTGCAAAGCTGAAAATATTTAATCTCTGACTCCTTACAGAAGAAGTTTGCTGGCCCCTGCCATAATCTGGCAGCCATCCCAGACCTGCATCTGAGGACCAGATGGGGACCTGGAGGCCTCAGGAGACACCAGCATGGTCAGATGACAATACTGATAACCCATTACTACTCCCCCCCCCCCCCCCCCCCCCAGTGAATCGGCACTCTCAGGGCCACTGCAACTTAGATACAAACTCAGGAATGTGGCCAAAAGATCCTGAAATGTAACCAGCACAAGGGGAGAGGGGCTCAAATGCAAATTAAATTAAGGTCAATTGTTTTTTAAAAATAAAGTCATATTGCTTGCCTGTCTGGGTTTGTGAACTGAGATGTCACATTCAGTATGCAGGGCCAGGTTTGTGACCTTGGGCTAATTGCTCACACCCCATTCAGCTTCTCATGTCTGCACTCACCAGGAGCAGCTCTAGACAGGCCTGCTGGCAACGAGGTGCCAACTTCAGAAGCCTGCATTCCAATAATGCCTTTGTCAAGGGGGCGATGGCAGCTGCTATGCTGGCCCCCTGTGGGTCTGCCTTCCTGGTCACAGCTAGCAGCCTACCGGGCATTGAGCCCAAAAGGACCTAATGGGTGGGCAGTCACAGCCTGGTCAGTAGCATCTGTACTGGAGGGTGACTCAGACAACCACTCGGACCTTCTCTCTCAGGAAGTTTGAACTGAAACTACACAGAGAAAGCCAGAGCCCAGGAGAGGTGACAGGGTAGAGTGCGAGGTACCAGTGAGCAGAAACCTGGAATAACCGACACACAGGCTTTTAGTGGGATCCGGGAAGGCAGAGACTGAGAGCATCAAAGTGACCAGAAAGGTGGGGACCCAGGTCAGGGAATGGTAGAAACCGCTGCAGGGACATTGACAACATGGCCCAGTTGCTGTAGCCCCCTTGGGCCCGTTGCCCACACAACATTCAGGTCTCCACGAGGTCTGGCTGGTTTCTGCTTTCCTTGCACTTCCGTGCTGTCTTAGAACAAGTTCTCTGTCACTGAAGAAATCTTGAGTCTGGCCTCCCAGTGGTTCTAGGCTCTCATACTGCCTACGCCTGGCCCTCAGCATGTCATTAAATATTGTAGATTCATTCTTCTCAGTGACTTGTGGTCCTGTCTTCCTCCTGGGTTCTGCCCCAGGTGAGCTGGGGTCACATTCCATCTCTCCTTCAAAGTACCTGTCATCTGTCTGTCTTTCAAGTTGTTCTTGCAACCTCAGTTTTTTGGTGAGTTCAGGAAAAGTTAGGAATTTGAGAAAAAGCTAATGTTTTCCTGCTATTAGGGTGAGTGACAGAGTTGTTAGAGCTTTCTGGATCTGAGTGGAGGTCAGAAGTCACCCCTGTGATTGTGAAAGGGACAGTATTAGGATGACACTTGAAGGACTCGCACCAAGGTGGTCACTGCCCAAGGTATGGTCTAGACGATAGTGGCTACAGCCCAGATGCTGGAGGAGGTAGTTCCAGAGAGGGGCTGCGGGGATACTATGCACATTGAAGGTGTCACAGACCTGTGGAATGACAGCAGTGTCACTGGGTCACTGTGTCACCTCCATCTCCATGGGTAGCTTCACCCTGAGAAGAGGGACATTCCACTCTAGCCAACGCAAATCCTGCTCTTGGAAGTTGCCGAGGGCCCTGAGAGATAGTGCAGATCCAGAACTCCCTACGCAGCTTCTGGACCCCAGCCTGCTGGCTTCTCCTTACCCAGAGGCCCGGTCAGCTCTAGCAGCGTGCCCGCCTGCTGATGGTGCCGTCTCTTTAAGGAAAATAACAGAAACAAAATCATTGCCTTTGAGTCCAACTCATGGTGACTTCATGGGTTACAGAGTCAAACCAAGCTCCACAGGGTTTTCTTGGCTAGTCTTTATGGAGGAAGATCACCAAGTCTTTCTTCTTTCTGCCTTGGCACCTGCTGGGTGGGTTCGAACTGACCGTCTCTCAGTTAGGAGTCAAGCACAAACCATTTGCATCATTCAGTGACCTCATTCTCTCTAAGGAGAAAGGTTTAATCTCCAGCCTAAGACAGAGACACTGGTTTGGTCTCCAGAACAACATTTATTCCCAAGATTGAGGCCGCTCACTCCCACCCAACCATTCCTCAGCCTCCACAGTAAGAAGCCTCTTTGGGCTGCGCACATCTCTGGAGTTCACTGGCCTCCTGTTTACAGCTCCACGTGCTCTGTCTGTGGTCGCTTCTCTGCTGCCTTCTTGGCCAGGACCTCAGTCCAGAATGCAACCTCCTTGTCTTTCAGCTTCTGTGCTGCCTTCGTGGTAACACCAATCTGCAGGTACCCTTCCTTCTGGTCATATGCTGGCCAATGGGGCAGCCCCTCTCCATTGGGGTTCCTGGGAACAGAATCAATTAGCAATTTCCCAGAGCTCTGGTGTGGTCTGCAGCAACCCTCGGAGACATGCAGGGATCCCCTTAGAGAGTTCTCCTTGTTAGAGTATCGTGGTCATACGGTCAAGAGCTTTACTGCTTCGAGTTTAGAAGCTGTCCCTTCCTGATAGGTATGCCCTGCTCCCTGTGTCCCCAACCCTGTTCCACCTCTGCCACTAGTCTCACCCATTCCGAGCAAAGTTGGCCCACATTTTCATCATCATCTTGCTGAGTTTGACCTCCTCTTCTGTGGCACCCTCTGTAGGGAAGAAAAGAAAAAGCCTTTGCTACTCAAAGGATGGTTCCTAGAGCAGCAGCATCAGAATGACTTGGGGGCTCATCAGAAATGCAGACTCTCAACTCTTATCCCAGACTTACCGATCCAAGATCTGCATTTTAACAAGATCCCGGGCCACGTATGTACACTTTAGGTTTGGGAACTGCTAATCTAGGACTCAGTGATGGGCTGAAGTCAATCTCTGAGTTGGCTACAGTTGTTTTTGTTGTGTCCACAAGACTCTCTCTTCCCTTCAGAATCCCATTGCCATGCCCCACAGCAACTGCAACTCCCTCAGGTATTTTCTCAATCCCCTTCACCCACCCACATTCTCACAGAGCCTGAAGGAAAGAGAGCTGAGATGATCCTACAGAATCACCCAACTAGGAGATGTCTAGAGGCATTATTGTGTCACAAACAGCCATGAAAACAGTGGGTCACAAGTTATCTGTAATACCTAGTAACTACATACTGGAGACATGCATAAAGGATTTTCTTTAAAATACTGTGTTATTAAAGATATCAAATTTTAAAAGATAGGAGTTTTAGATCGATGTTAGATAAGATAGGTGGTATTTAGATGATAAGACAGAAGGTAAATGGATGATTAGATGGTAGGTAGATAGATGGTGGACAATAGATAGACAAACAGACAAATAGTCACACACACATAAGAAGTAATTCAAAGTTAACACCAAGTCTAATCTTACTCCCACTCGGATTCTCTTATGCTCTTGTGAATGGGAGATGAGGGGGTGACATTCTAGCCTTTGATCAGGGCCCTGCAGGTGACCTACTACTTGTCTTATTGATGCCAGAGGTCTAGATTCTAAGTGTGGCCATGGCTCAAGTCCATGTGGATGCACATCCTCCATCATGCGTGTTAGAGCATGAGAAAGGTTGGGAACTGCCCGATGTTGTCCAACTCTATTACAGTGAATTCAAGAAACTAAGATGAGGAAACAAGGAAGAACTTGCTCAAGGCCACCAAACTGAGATTTTGAGCCCAGATCTCCTAACTCCAAGCTCACAGCCAGCAAAGACCCCTCACCTTTTAAAAACGGGGACCCGAAGACCGAGAAGAGCTCATCCCCGTGGTCTCCTACCACCGTCTTGGGTTTCATCTCTGATGAGAAGCTTGGGTGATGCTGAAACTCATACATGTAGGTGGGGCCTCCAGCATCTGAGAAAACATGAATTCACACTCAGCTCATTTTACCAGATGCATACCTGGATGGTCTCAAAGTCTCCAGGGTGCCCTGAGTGCTCAGGGAAATGGTCATGCACCTGACCACTCAGTACACAACACCAACAACAGTAATAGCAGCTGCCCTTTGGGGGTGTCAACTGTGTGTTGGGCACCATGTGGCCCTGCAAGAATCCCCTGGTCATCAGCACAATTGAGGAAAGGTGTCTCAGGGAAACTCATTGATTCGCTGAAGACTACACAGCTAATTAAGGTGTGGCAGGGGTTTGGGCCTAGTGTTTGTTGAATGAATGAATGAGTGAATATTGAATGAATGTTGAAACTCTTACATCAGTCCATTCAAAATGATTATCATCATAGGGCATTAGGTAAATTCACATAAACCTCTTTGCCTCCTGATGCATTCACACACACAAAAATCCATATACATCCTGTGTACACTATTGTATTTCATTGATAGACTCATTTTCATTCCTTTGAAGAAAATCTACAGCCCAACAGGTGTCTTCTATTCTTCCTAGTTTTGAGCATTTCCACTATTTTTCTCACTCATTCTGAGAAGAGTAAAGTAAATCCAAGTTGCTTGTCTGAAAGAGAGGATATTGAAATACAAACATATGAACAGTGGGAACAATCTGTGCCTTGTGTCTCAGGAAACCACAATCTCAGCTTTTCTTATCTCTGTCCCCTCCCTTATCTTGCTTCCTGGTTGGCCCAGGAGTGTTAAGGTGGTGGCAAGAAAGAGAAGGGGCCATGGAAGAGCAAATGGCCCCTCTCCTGCTGTCCTGGGCCTCCTCCCTCGCCACTATAGCTTGCCTGCCCAAGTCCCCAAAAGATGTCCGTTTTCCTGCTGATCCGTTCTTCAGAGTCACCGAGCCCTCAGGGCTAACAGTGCTTCACATTGGTCACAATGCTCACAGAGGAGTGATTCTAATGGGGAGGCTCAGGTCCCAAGTCAGGCTGTCATCAGAGGGCACCAGGTCAATTCACACAGCTCCATTGCCTACTGAAGCATCCACACACACACAAATCTATGTACATCCAGTGTACACTACTGTATTTCATTGATAACAGACTCATTTTCATTCCTTCGGAGAATAGCTACAGCCTGGTAAGTATCTTCTATTTTTCCTAGGTTTGAGCATTTCCACAGGTGGAGAAATTTTACAACCTCTTCCCCTTAAGTATAATAAGAAATTTGAAAAATGCGGAGAAAAACAAAAATGAACAAAAAGCGCACTTATAGTCGTACCATTCAGAGAAAGCCTCTGTTAATATTTCAGCACATATACCTTCAATATGTATAAAATTGAGATAATATTATATATGCTCTTCTGCAATATGGGAGCTCTGGTGGCGTAGTGCCTAAGGCACTTGACTGCTAACCAGCAGGCTGGCAGTTTAACCCAACAGCCATTCCTCGGAAGGAAGGCTGGGCAATCTACTTCCATAGTGATACCACCTCGGCAACCCAAGGAGGAGTCACTATGAGTCGGGTCCGACTCCACGACAGTGAGTTTTTGCAATATAGTAGAATTATTTCTTCACGTTGTTAAATATTCATCCACAAAAATGATTTAACAATAAATGTCATCCCAACGTGAAGGGTGTGTCCTTGGGTGGTACAAACAGTCAATGCTCTGTGCTGCTAACTGAAAGGTTAAAGGTTCATGTCCGCCCAGAAGCACCTCAGAAGAAAGGCCTGGTGATCTCTTTCTGAAAAATCAGCCACTGAAAACCCTGTTTTCTGCTCTGACACATCGGTCCCCATGAGTTGGAGTCAACTTGATGACAAGTGGAACCAGAAAGCACCTTGTTGTTGTTGTTGTTGTTATGTGCCATCGAGTTGGATCCGACTCATAGCGACCCCTCCTTGGGTTTTGAGGCAGTATCTCTACGGAAGCAGATTGCCCAACCTTCCTTCTGAGGAGTGGCTGGTGGGTTTGAACCTCCAGCCTTCTGGTTAGCAGTCAAGTGCCTTAGGCACCATGCTACCAGAGCTCTTATTCAGTTGTCCCTTTCACCCCTCATTGTTGCACTCTTGGTTTAATAAGTGTTGTTTGGAACAATCAGTCCTTTTGTAGCTCTATAATCCACTTGTTAAACAGGTGCTTCAGTGCCAAGCAGAACTCCCTGAAAGGAAGTGGTTTAACCTTGTCTCTGCCACTCAAGTTTTAGAAATGAAACAGAACCCAATGGTGGAGGAAAGCCCTGTTGTGAACGAGAACTCATTTAGGCAGTATCTTGCCCAAAAGAACTTCTTTTTCTTTTTTTAAAAGTTTTTTCCTAAAACCACTGACATTTATAAAACTCCTACAATCAAAACACGCAGCACGGATTTGGGTAATAGCAATTATTAGGAACAAGAGACCGGCGATAAGGAGAGAGCCAACGATCAAATACTTGCAAATTAAAATACAATGTGATGTTCTTTCTTTTGGTGAGGTAGGGCTGATGGAATTGGCAGCAGCTTTTTTTTTTTTTTTTTTTT